AAACCGAGCTTATGAACAAAAGAGTAAAGGTCGCTGGTTAAGCCAGGATCAATATATTTGTTGACGTTTTCATTACAGTGTGCATAATAAATGTGTTAAATGAATTGAGCAATTATTTAAAAAGTATAATGTTGCAATCTCTTTACAATAAGTAATTACAGTTAACAAAGAAGTAGAGGTTGTTTTCCAAGGGCCTCTCCTTCACAGCCCTACACTTTAAATCATGAGACTTTCAAATCATAACAGACAGAGATCGGTATCACTTTGTGTTGCAAGCCAAATCCATGTAAAGGTTCTACTTGAGCCCAATTTAAATACCATAAAGAAAGTATTGAACCCAGCTCAAGCTAAATGTCAAATGTATTTAATTAATGTACAAGTGTTTTGATTTATTTAAAATGTTCTAATCTAGCTTCTTTCGAGTTCAGTCTAAGCAACAAATTGTTTCTCATAACATTCTCACTGCTGTCCCAAATGTTTTAACCTTGGGCAGACAAGCTGTTCACACACCCACACACACCCACACACTTTGGATAAGTAGTCACCTTATCCACATTGTAAATTGTTGCCTTCTTTAAAGTTATTAGTAATTTAAGATTAATTATTAAATTAAATGTGGTACATAAGATAAAATAAATAAAATAACTTGACTTGATCATTTTGTTCACAACATTAGACCTGTCCTCTAATCTCTACTAGAATAAGATAAGTGTGCATGTTTGGATGCACTCCTGTAATGTACCTAATCTTGATATCCTTTTCATTACAGAGCTGGGAAAATGGTGTATTGATTAGATTCTGATCCGTGCAAGTCCAATTTTGACTGACTTTAGTTCTAATGTTAATGTTAATTTGACTTCAACCCATAAGTAATTATTTAAATTAACTCTAAATGTCACATGATGATGGATTAGTGTTCCACATTTCTTCCACTAATTTGTTTTACAATTAGGCCAAAGGTAAAGAGAGACATTGATGACCTTGTGTCCCTTTTGTTAGTACGTGGTTCCATTTTGTCTATGGCCTTGGACGGCTTCACTAAAAGTCACCCAGTTCTGCCCTGCTGCAGTCCGGCTGAGTGCAGTCACAGAGATGCTATGGCTGCTCTACATGACATTAATGGTCTGGTCTGAATGGACACCATTTCCTGCTCCCAGAGAGAATGACACTCCTCAAACTGAACATTACAGCCGTTGATACTGTCTCACATGGGTCTGCTCCCCCCCACTGAGCCATGAACTGAAAGCATGACATCTGCTATGAACACTTGGAAGCCTCCCTGTCACACCAGCACCAACCCTTGGGTCAGTCAGATGAGACTAACGGCTTCACTTAGGGCATTTGGTTCAGATACATGACTCTCGTTACCGCAGAGTGGGTTGTTTTTAAGGCTATTCATACTGCTATGCAGAGGATGCCTGTAAGTTGGCGAGCTGGTAAAAGCCCCTACTATTGTTTCAAATAGGCCTAATGTCAGGGGTCTCTTAATGTCTAGTTCTACATGTATTCACATTATATAGACAATGTTTCCACCTGGTAAAACTAAAGGCTGCACGAAACTCAGGCTACAATACAACCATTATGTTCTGCTCTAACGATTCAATGTATAGATTCTACATCAAAACAATTAGCTTTTATTGTTTCCAATGATAACGTCACCTTCAGTGGAGGAATGCAAACCTGTTTTCAAATGTAAGGTTTTGATTTTGTTGGTTTTGATACATTTCTCAGTAATGACACCCTCAGACACCCAATATCATTCATGCTATGCCTTCAGTAATAACTCAGATGTTAAAGGGATGAAACTTTTCCTCCCAAATCAGATATGCTTTGTTTTTCAACAAATGTATCAATTTCCTGCATAATATATGTTTATCACAATGGTTTTTTGTAAGCTGCACACAGGTGATACTGAGTCTTCTCGATTAATAGATTATAAACTATACCATGCTTAAATAGACTCCTAAGTTATTATTTCATATGTACCATATGTAAGAAAAGGGAGGGAAGAGTCAATTATATTGAGTAATTGATTTTATATTGGGTAATTTATTTCTCAAACCTATGTTTTATGGAAGAGACTAAATATTTCTGATAAACTAATATTTTATCAAAAGGTAAATGGTGAATTAATATACATTTAGAATCATTGAGAAGGGGTTATATCCACAGGGACAAGCTCACCTTTAACTTACAATAACATGTCTCTGCTATGGACTGATGAGTATATGATTCTTGCATGTTCAATGACTAACACAAACCTTCAAAATGATAATGTGCATGTGTCAGGAAGGCTCCCAAATAATTCTGAGGGGCCTATCCTATTTTTGTAATTAAATGATAATGTGCTAATCCATTACTTTGAGTTGTCTTCACTCAGAAAAACATCCCTATCAGGTGTTAACCCAATAACTAGGACAGCTCTCAAGGCCAAGGGTCAGAGAGAGAGGGTCACACTCTCCGGGTGCAGAGAGCACCCCCAGCCACGTGCAAGGAAGCACGAGGTCGTTCGAGATGGGATGCTTCTCTTCACCTTTCTGATAAGAGGGGGTTCTTCTCTTCATCTTTCTGCTCGGTGGGCTCTAGCAGACAACCCTGCAGGACGAGCGAGGGTTTCAGAGGCTTCTATAATACAATGTTCCATGTTTCTTGGAGGAGTTTGATGTCTTCCTAACCTCTTCCATCACGGGGGGGACACCTGGATGCATCAGGAATACGCAGTTGTACTCAAGCACATAGCAGAAGGAATACCGGCAGATGAGCCTCCGTCTCACTGGGGGATTAAGCTACAGTGCTCACTGAATGAGCCACACAAAAGCAGAGCAATTGGGGGGGTTGAAATATGGCGCTCTGATGAAGAAGAGTTTGAGCCAATCAGCACCTTAGTGCTAATCTACAGTATCAGGATGCCTTTACACACCAGACACTCGGTGTCATAAAGGGAGGAGGAGTCAGGAAGACTGACGGACATGTTCTTCCAGCTCTCGTACAAAGATGAACTTTGAATTGAATGACCAGATGTTTAAAGATGTACAATTAATGATTGTTTTTTATATTTCCAATGACCAGACATGTGTTAAATAGTGGTGATAAATATATTTAGTCAGATCAGATTACATTTTCACACTAAACAAAATTAATAAATAAATATTCTCAGATTATAAGGTATTGAATAATAAGGTATTTCTAATATTATAACAGATAATGTTAATATCCTTAATCATCCAGCAATCAGGCTTAACAACACTACTCTTTAATGTATTACCCATGCACAGACAGACCTGAAATGATGTTTCAAGTACTGGATTAATTTCAGTTTTGGCCCAAAACAAATATTTATAATAATTGATATAACAATTATGTAGCATATTTGATCCTCAAATTAGAGAATTATAATTTAAAGAAATTGATATTCTATATTCAACATTAGATAAACACAGAAGAACCCTTTCCAAGTACCATAAGTAGATTTCCAGGTAAGTATGGCTAATAAGAATAAGTGATAGACTTAATTTGGTACAGATCAGTTGTAGCATTTACAAATGTATGAATTAAAGTTTTAAGAATGTTTAATCTTTCTCAGGAGTCTCTATCGGTGTTTGTGGGCTCTAGGATGGGAAATCCTTGAGGCCATGAGCGTCGGACGCAGGTGACTCAGTGTTTAGTCTACTCCTTCAGAGATGTTGATTTCTCTCTGTGAACCTGTTAAAAGGTCTAGCATAGAGAGAGGCTCTTCAGAATTGACGTGGCAACTCTACCGTGTAGTCAGAACCTCTGACTCTTTGATTTGTGATGTGAATCCTCCGGCCGAATACTCTGAATAAACCCATCAGTGTTTGACATCAAAGCTCCAACTCTCACCGTGTCTCCTTCCTGAGTCGGTGACTCCATGCATTACTACACAGAAGTTTCCCCCACACTCTCCTGCTGATGTTCAGGTGTATATCAGTATGTAGTGTCTCTACTTTAAAGAGTCCTCTCCTGCTGATGTTCAGGTGTATATCAGTATGTAGTGTCTCTACTTTAAAGAGTCCTCTCCTGCTGATGTTCAGGTGTATATCAGTATGTAGTGTCTCTACTTTAAAGAGTCCTCTCCTGCTGATGTTCAGGTGTATATCAGTATGTAGTGTCTCTACTTTAAAGAGTCCTCTCCTGCTGATGTTCAGGTGCATATCAGTATGTAGAGTCTCTACTTTAAAGAGTCCTCTCCTGCTGATGTTCAGGTGTATATCAGTATGTAGTGTCTCTACTTTAAAGAGTCCTCTCCTGCTGATGTTCAGGTGTATATCAGTATGTAGTGTCTCTACTTTAAAGAGTCCTCTCCTGCTGATGTTCAGGTGTATATCAGTATGTAGTGTCTCTACTTTAAAGAGTCCTCTCCTGCTGATGTTCAGGTGTATATCAGTATGTAGTGTCTCTACTTTAAAGAGTCCTCTCCTGCTGATGTTCAGGTGTATATCAGTATGTAGTGTCTCTACTTTAAAGAGTCCTCTCCTGCTGATGTTCAGGTGTATATCAGTATGTAGTGTCTCTACTTTAAAGAGTCCTCTCCTGCTGATGTTCAGGTGTATATCAGTATGTAGTGTCTCACCGTGCAGTGACACTAAACCGCCACCAGGTGTCAGCGGTATACAGGCAGGTGGACTTGAGTGCAACAAAAAGCAACAGGAAGTGAAGAAAGAGCAATAATGTATTTATTTATTACCAGGGTCAGGTGAGGACAAAAGAACACCTGTGTGGATCCACACACGAGGAGAAGCTGTACACACACACACACACACACACACACACACACACACACACACACACACACACACACACACACACACACACACACACACACACACACACACACACACACACACACACACACACACACACACACACCACGTATAATAAAGTTTTATTTTGAAAGGTACTTCTGTGACACAAATCACTGTAGCGGTGCTTTTATTTTGAAGGCAGCGTGTTTACGGACCGTCTTCAATTGGGCAGACTCTGGATTATTAGACTCGGTTTATTAGACTTTATAACAGATTCCTTACAGACTTACTTCTGATTGAAGTCCCTGAGTGTCTCTGCTGTCCTCGTGTCCTCTGAGTCTCTAAAGATGGACTCTCAGCTCTCAGGTTGGTCTCTTTAATAACTCTGAATAAACCCTGAAATTTGAATGAACCCTTAGTGCAGTTTAATGAACTTTAAATTATTATATAACTGGTCTTTGTATCATCAGCTCGTGTCTGTGTCATGGATACTCAAAGGAGGAAAGCTGTGAGATGGAAATAAACATCCTTAAAGTCAAATCAAGTTACAATAACCCAGAATGTGAACTGCTGAAACAATTTCAAAACATTCATCTGCTACTTAGTAATATATATCTACTATCTAAAATATATCATTCCAATAACTTGTATGTAGACTCGTACTGCACTATTCCACATACTCACTTTATTTTATAACTATTTTTCTTTTTGTATTACTCTTACTATCTGTATTATTATGTTGCATTGTTGGAGAAGCCTGTGACATAAGATTTTCAACAACATAATTACTCTGTAGCTATGTCAGTTTGACAATAAAGAACCTTGAACCTTGAATCTTGAATACTAAGACTTAATATCTCAAATCTCTTACATTTAAAAACAATGGGAAAATATTTAACTAATGAACGATTTCTCGAGATAATGTAAAAATGTCTCATAACAATAATAAAAAAAACGTTTTAAAATAATAAATATCTTTAATTGATAAAAAAACGTTTTAAAATAATAAATATCTTTAATGAATGAAAGACGTTCTCAATAAATTGGCAAACTTAATTAAAACCATGAAAAACTCGTTATGCGTGTTATTATTTATTAATTGTTTTTAGTTACTAAGTTAGTATTTTGAGACATGTTTATTTATCATAGTTTTAACGTGTTTTTTTTACACTTCTTTGTATTTTTAGGAAAACGTTTTTTTATTTTGAAAACGTTTTTTATCATTATAATAAAATATTAAATTATTTAAATAAGTTTGTCATTATTTACAAAAAACATTTTCATTGAGTAAATATTATTGAACTTTTATTAAGATTTAAAAAAAATATTATTAGTAAAGTTTTTTATTCTTTTTTAAAATGTTTTTATTACTAAAAGAACGTTTTTTTTAACATTTTGAATTTCTTCTGAATACCCCCCCCGCCCCCCCCCAGCTGACCCCCCCTTGGAGCCCCGCCCCCCCCGGATGACGAGGCAGCAGATCCTCACTTTGATCTCCGTCGCCTCGGTCAACTTCTCCTCCATGATCTGCTACTCCATCCTGGGGCCCTTCTTCCCCACTGAGGTGAGCAGAGGTCACATGATGACAACATGATGATCACATGACAAGGGCTAGTTAGAGGACTGAACCATCAGTGTATTGATCCACTGATCCGATAGTATAGATTAGTGGCGCAGTGGGTTAGAGCGTTGATCATCAGATCAAGGGGGTGAACTCCAGTTCGAAACCCGCCCACTGCGTCAGGCCGTTGTGTCCTTGGGCAAGACACTTCACCCGAATGTGCTCCTGTGGGTAATGTCCACAGTAATGACTCTTACATGTCTCATATGTGTAATGTGTAATTGTAAAGCGCTTTGAGCACCTGCAAAAGCGCTCTAATAAAAAATGTGATGCATTATTATTATTATTATTATTATTATTAAAGTTCCCCTATTATACTCTTTCTCAACTCTATATCCCAGGTCTCAGATAGATACAGAGCCTGTCTCTGATTGGCTGAAATACCAAACAGATCATTGCAGCATTACCCATAATCCCCTCTGTTTCAGCCCTGTTTCCAAAGTGCTGATTCTCTGTCTGTTACTTTAGATGAAAATAAGGAGCCCCTCCCCACGCCCCTCTGAGAGAGATTTGGTTAAAAAGAACACAATAGCCGCGTTCACACCAAGGGCGCCGGAAGTGGGGGGGCCAGGGGGCCATTGGCCCCCCCACTTTTGAGCCATGCCCTACATTTTCGCAGCGGCGGATGCCGCAGAACACTGTACAAATCCCGTTTCAATAATTCCCCTCTACTCTAAAGTCGCATCTAAAACGCGATCTGATCTAGCTGTGTATATTTTGGTATTTTTTATTGTTATATTCAATCTCATTAGCTACAGGCATTTTTTAAGCTTGTGAAGGGAAGATGACAGCTCTCACTCGCCACTCTGCTGTTCCACAGCGCCGCTTCCCCTCCCTCTGCTGAAATTATGAATGTAAGGCGTATAGTAATCATATATAACACGGCAGGGTCCGTTACAGTTTGTTTGTATCTGATTTCAAATAAACAAAGTCTTGGCTTTCAGAATATGAAACTTGTTTCGGCAAATTCAAATGATAAATACAACTTTGAAAGCTTGTAACGGCATAATTACAAGCAGAGAACGGAGTAACGTAACGTCACAGCAGGCATAACAACAGCCGGTGTTTCTCGTGAGTGATTTCCCCGGGAAACAAACACAATACACACAAACGCAAAAATACACAAATACACACACGTATACACACACACTCGCGGGCTTCCCCCAGACCAGTAATCCAAACGAAAATATCTTCCCTCCGTTACTACTTTGATAATTTGCTCCGCTTCCAGAGAAGAGGAAACTTTAAAGGCCTTTTTCTCAAAATGATGACTCGGTGACAGTCATTATATAATGTGACATATTTTGCTTAATATTCGGAGTACAACAACAATCCTGATATCATTAGAAAGCTAGGAATCTCCTCTTTCCAACAGTGTATACAACTCAAAATGTGTCTTCGGGTCAATGCGACTGATTTCGATGGAGCAGGTTTGCATTAGGTAAAATAAAGCAGGCAGACATAACAGGAAGAATATGTACATTTTAACCCAATCAAATAGGACATTGTCACACCATTCAAATGTATCCATGTAAATTACAACCAATAAAAAAGCTTAGATTTGTTTATTTGTTACGTTGTTTAGTTTATTTGTTACGTTGTTCTGTGTGTGTCAGCCGTTAACCAGATAGAAAGAATAGATACACTTGCAAACAAGTCAGAAGAACCAGCGCAGAAGAAAACTAAATACAGTCAATCTAAACTTACATTTAACAACTGGAAGGTCACATCCCAGACATCCACTTCTCCGGAGCCTGGACCTTCATCAATCATAGAAGAACCAGCGAAGCCAGATAAACCCAAAAGCAGCAGCTCTGGTATGAGGTGTGACACAGGTGTGTCTCTGCGGCCGCAGAGACTGTCAAAACCGCCGCCGCCGCCACCGCCGCCGCCGCTGGTTGCTGATTGGCTAATGGTTACTCAAGCCAAAACATCGTGATGACATCATAAAGTGGCCAAAATCTGATCAGCTCATTTTCAGACAGGTTTTTATATAAATGGATCAAAAAGAGAGAGAATCTTTGTTCCTGAAACTTTCAGAGTCTCTTTCCACAGAGGGGACACATGTTGATGAAGAAGAGACATGAAGAAGAGGGGACACATGTTGATGAAGAAGAGACATGAAGAAGAGGGGACACATGTTGATGTAGAAGAGGACATGAAGAAGAGGGGACACATGTTGATGTAGAAGAGACATGAAGAAGAGGGGACACATGTTGATGTAGAAGAGACATGAAGAAGAGGGGACACATGTTGATGTAGAAGAGACATGAAGAAGAGGGGGACACATGTTGATGAAGAAGAGACATGAAGAAGAGGGGACACATGTTGATGTAGAAGAGACATGAAGAAGAGGGGACACACGTTGATGTAGAAGAGACATGAAGAAGAGGGGACACATGTTGATGTAGAAGAGACATGAAGAAGAGGGGACACATGTTGATGTAGAAGAGACATGAAGAAGAGGGGACACATGTTGATGTAGAAGAGACATGAAGAAGAGGGGACACATGTTGATGTAGAAGAGACATGAAGAAGAGGGGACACATGTTGATGTAGAAGAGACATGAAGAAGAGGGGACACATGTTGATGAAGAAGAGACATGAAGAAGAGGGGACACATGTTGATGTAGAAGAGACATGAAGAAGAGGGGACACATGTTGATGAAGAAGAGACATGAAGAAGAGGGGACACATGTTGATGTAGAAGAGACATGAAGAAGAGGGTACACATGTTGATGTAGAAGAGACATGAAGAAGAGGGGACACATGTTGATGTAGAAGAGACATGAAGAGGGGACACATGTTGATGAAGAAGAGACATGAAGAAGAGGGGACACATGTTGATGTAGAAGAGACATGAAGAAGAGGGGACACATGTTGATGTAGAAGAGACATGAAGAAGAGGGGACACATGTTGATGTAGAAGAGACATGAAGAGGGGACACATGTTGATGTAGAAGAGACATGAAGAAGAGGGGACACATGTTGATGTAGAAGAGACATGAAGAAGAGGGGGACACATGTTGATGTAGAAGAGACATGAAGAAGAGGGGACACATGTTGATGTAGAAGAGACATGAAGAAGAGGGGACACATGTTGATGTAGAAGAGACATGAAGAAGAGGGGACACATGTTGATGAAGAAGAGACATGAAGAAGAGGGGACACATGTTGATGTAGAAGAGACATGAAGAAGAGGGGACACATGTTGATGTAGAAGAGACATGAAGAAGAGGGGACACATGTTGATGTAGAAGAGACATGAAGAGGGGACACATGTTGATGAAGAAGAGACATGAAGAAGAGGGGACACATGTTGATGTAGAAGAGACATGAAGAAGAGGGGACACATGTTGATGTAGAAGAGACATGAAGAAGAGGGGACACATGTTGATGTAGAAGAGACATGAAGAAGAGGGGACACATGTTGATGTAGAAGAGACATGAAGAAGAGGGGACACATGTTGATGTAGAAGAGACATGAAGAAGAGGGGACACATGTTGATGTAGAAGAGACATGAAGAAGAGGGGACACATGTTGATGAAGAAGAGACATGAAGAAGAGGATTTTAAATAATAGGGACCTTTAAGACAGACTGTAATGACACTTCTT